AACAAAAACCACCAAACTTGTTGCCGTGGAGTCAATTCCAACTCATAGCGACCCTATAGGACAGGGTAGAACTGCCCCATAGGGTTTCCGAGGAGCAGCTGGTGGATTTGAACTGCCAACCTTTTGGTCAGCAGCCGAGCTATTAACCACTGCACCACCAGGGCTCCAAGAAAACATAAGGGGTTTAAAAAAATTAATCTCAGAGTAGAGAAGTCGTTTCTAAATATAACCAGAAAAGACTGATAAATTCTACTGCATTAAAAAAAAGAAAAAATCTGCATGACAAAAGCACCACAGACAAAGCGACAACATAAATGACAAATGGAGCAGTGTGTGCAATTCCTTTCACAGACACAGGGCTAATTTCTTAATCTATAAAAGAGCCCCTAAAAGTCATAACTAGGACAAAAAGAAAAAAGAGAGCAAGAAAGACCAAAAACAAATAGAAAATGGATAAGGGCAAAACATAAGAACAAACAGTTCATAGAACAAGAAATAGAAATGTTGTTTGTAAACATGTGGTGCTCCCCCGACCCAAAAGAATATAAGCACAAAGTAACCCTTCCTGGAACACCCTGGGTGCACCCGACTGGCAAAGGCAGAGATGCTTGGTAGGCACCAGGCTGGAGGGCCATCAGCTGGTACAAGTGCTGTGGGGCACAGTCCAGCAAGAGCTACTAAAAGTATCCCAGCACAGCTACACTGCTAGGGCCTCATCCCACAGGCCAGCCTTGCACCAGGTCATTCACTGCAACACTTTGAAAGAGCAAAGGATTGGAGAAACCTAACTGTCCATTCACAGGGTCTGGCCCATCCACGCAATGGGATACTCACAGCTATGCAAAACATGAAGCAACACTTTAGTTTTGGAAGAATCTCTATGATACACAGATAAAATAGCAAAGCAAAGTGCACCATATACATATATATATATACATACACACCAAACATATACACGCACCAAACATATATACATAGGTAAGTAGATAGTTATACATATATAGATACATATGTTGTTGTCAGTTGCTGTCAAGTCCATTCTGACTCATGGTGACCCCATGTGTGCAGAGTAGAACTGCTCCACAGGGTTTACAAAGCTATGACCTTTTGGAAGCAGAGCACCAGGCCTGTCTTCCGAGGTGCCTCTGGGTGGGTTCCAACCGCCAACCTTTTGGCTAGTAGTTGAGCGCTTAACCATTTGCGCCACCCAGAGGCTCCAGAGATATAGAGATTTATGTTGTGTGCCACTGAGTCGATTCCAACTCGTAGTGACCCTATATGACAGAGCTGAACTAGCTCATAGAGTTTCCTAGACTATAATCTTTATAGGAGCAAATGACCAGGTCTTTTCTCCTGCAGAGCAGCTGGTGGGTTCAAACAGTCAATCTTTATGTTAGCAGCCAAGTGCTTAACCATTATGTCACCAGGGCTCCTTATATAGACGTGTATCTGTTTCTAAATGATCTCTGGCAGGTGCCCCTGGAGAAGTGGGTGGCTGGGTGGGGCTGGAGGGGACTGACCCGACCCCCTCTACATTATCACATCTGGGCCCCTTGCTCAACTCAGTCATAGCACAGGGAGGAGCTGTGGTTGATTGTGGTGTGAGGCTGAACCTCAGCTCTGTCACCTGGTAGCTCTGTGACCTCTGTCACTGGGGATAATGACCTGGGCCTCAGGGGCTGCCAGTGCACATGAGTTGTAGCCCCTTGGGTGGGGCCAAGCCACCGCAGGGCCAGTCATGGTGGTGTGCCTTGTATTCTAGAGCACAGTGGCCTAAGGTTGGGGACTCAGCCCTGGGAGTGGGGGCAGAGATGGGACCTGAGAGGTGTGGGGCCTACCAGCAGGTGCTTCTCCTCAAACTCGGCAATCTTCCGCTTGCCCTGCTCCTGGTTCTCCTGGATAGCCTCTTGGATGCACTCATTGAATGTGTCAATCTCCATTTTCCGCTTCTCCTGCTGTTTCAGGCCATACTCAAAAATGTTCAGGCAGATGATGACAAATTTGTCCTTGTAGGTAAGTGTCTGTCAAGGAGGCTCCCACTGTCTCTCAGGAGTGGACTGCCGGGGGGGTCACAGGTAAAAGCTGGATGACAACAGTATCAGGGCTCCTGGCACGGAGCACAAGCTGGTGTGGACACCGAGCTCGGTACTAGAAACCCACCATCTATCTCATCTGGTCCATTTGCCTGATGAGGAAACCGAGGGCGGGAGATGGGACCCGACCAGAGTCACAGCCGTGGGCTTGAGATGGGGCCTCTCCACCCTCAGCCTGGGGCATTCAGAAACTGGAGCTGCGTGGGGAAGAAGTTGACAGGGCAGGGAGGGTCAAGCTGAGAAGGGCTCTGGGGAGGCCCCTGGGGAGGCTGGGGCGGGGCTAGGTACCTGGAGAGTCTTGTCTCTGGTATATTTTATCTAGAAGGGCACATCTGTTGAGGCCTGGTCCCTTGCTGCTGCAGGTGCACTGGAGGAGCCTAAGTGGGTGGACAGGCCACAGGCTTGTGTTGCTGTGCTGCTGACCCTGGGACCCCACCCTGACAAGGCACGTCCCTTCTCCAGGCCTCAGTGTCCTCATCTGCCACCTGGCATCCTTGGGAGAGAGGTGTCACTGAGGCCAAGAGGATCAAGCCACCCTGTTGGGATGGAAACCAATGATCAGATAGGTGAGATGACTCACCCAAAGGCACGCAGCCACAGCCGAGATTCAAATGTGGGTCTGCCTGGCTGCAGGTCACCAGCTGGTGGGTGGCAGAGCCAGGCAGGAGCCCAGGCTATCTGGCCTGGAGCCCTGCTCTTAACCGTGCACTCAACCCTGGGCACCCGTGCTGCACACCCTTTCTGCTTCACCTCCATGCTCCTGCCCTCACTGACTTCTAGAATGCTGGGCTTTTAGAAGTGAATTTCTCTCTATCCAGCATGCTGTTGGGTAGACTAGGGGAAGAATGCGGGGTTTTAGGACTCAGGATAGAGTTCAAACCCCAGCTTCTAACTGCCTGGCCCTTGCCAGGCCTTGGCTTCCCTGACTATAAAGTGGAATGGATGACATTTTCCACCTGGTGGGGGGTTGAGAAAATGACAAATAACATATGCAAAGCAAAGAGCAGGACAAGCAGACACACCTGACGGAGGTCACTACCACAGAGCGCGTCTTCCATGTTTCCACCTCAAGAACCCCACCTGTAGGCCCAGACCTCAGTGAGCCCCTTGAAATTCAGACAGCACTCCCCCTGGCACTCGCTGACCCAGCTATGCACCATACTATGGGTATACTGCTCTGAAATGGGGACTGTCCCTCTCAGGGTCTCACAAGAGAGATGGGGAAGCTGAGGCCCTGAGAAGAAGGGGACCTGCCTGAGGCAGGGTGGTAGCACAGCAATGAGCTTGCAAGGATATGCCTCAAGGAGCTCGCCGACGCCGGGCAAGTAGGACAGCTTGTTACCCTCCACGTCCTCAGCATACATGCTGTCAAACAGGAAGGAGCCGTCCAGGTGCTCGATGAATGCAGCCTGCAACAGAAACACAGTTCACCCACTGACCCCTGCAAGGCAGGATCTGGGGAAGTTTCCTGGAGGGGGAGGTGCTCTGAGGAAGGAGGTGAGGGAGGGGATCTAGGGGAGGGGGGCATGGGGAGGTCAGAGACAGTGCACTGCAGACTGCTTTCAGAACATTCTGCGGTGCTCAGCCTGGCTGGAGAGAGGGCTGACTGGTGGGAGGGCCACCCTGAACTCCAGACTGCACTGTTCCTGGCCTGCCATGGGGGACTCCCGGTTTAAGAAAGGAGCAGCTCTGACAACAGATGGCATTGAGCACACTCTCCAGCAGAGGCAGGCGATGGGCCTGGATGGGGATGGCAGGTGGTCTGGTGGAGCAAGGTGGGCGGGGGCGCCAGGCCATGTGGCAGGTGCAGCTTAAGCAGACCCAGGCATTGCTGAGCAGCATCAGTTTTCAAAAAGTGAGTTTTCAGGGCCCTGGGGGCCCATGCCAACTCGGTCTAACCTGGCAGATGCCCTCTACTGAGCACCTCTGAGCCAGGGTAAGGGGGGTCAGGGCAAGGGGGGTCAGGGCAAGCAGGTCAAAGCAAGGGGGGTCAGGGCAGGGACGAGGCCTCCCCGCAGTACCTTGTGCTCCTCCAGCTCCTCCCTCCGGGCCTGCGCCTCCTCCCGCTGGGCCTGTGTCAGGTCCTCACGGTGCTTCAGCTCATCAATGGTGTACTGGTGCTTGACCTCCGCCAGCTCTCTCTGCAGGGATGGGGACCATGACCAGGTGACTGCCTGATGGGCAGGGCCTAGGGTCTGCACTCCGTGTAGGTGAGCATGGGTCGTCCCAAGCTCTGAATCTAGTGATCTGGTAGCGTCGGGAAGGGCAGGGGAGCTGCATGAGGCAGAATGTGCAGGTGGCCAGCTGTGGGGTGCTCCGGGGCAACTGGGGACTTCTGTACCCACATGTAACTCACATCCTACGGCCTTCCCAAGTGGGCATTCAGGCTCCCTTTAGGGTGGACAGGGGAGAGAGTGAAGTGACTACCCAAGGTCCTTGTCTCTTCCACCCAGCCCCTCAGTCCTTGGCCCTTCTCAGCTTGCTCTGTGCACCGCAAGTGCTCTCACTTGTGGTTCCCAGACCTGAGCCTATGACTGTCCGCCGAGCTCTGCTCCTTAGTGAGCAGCCCCCAGACACAGCCCACCCAGCACACAAGCCCCCAAGACCCAGCCCATGCCCACGCCTATCTTTCTCGCCCCCAGACACAGCCCACCCAGCACACAAGCCCCCAAGACCCAGCCCATGCCCACGCCTATCTTTCTCATCTCCTACTCATCTAATCTGGCCACATCTCACCAGCATCTCTTGAGGGGACCCCTGCCTCAGCTCTCAGCTGGTCGCCCCCATTCCCATCCCTCCTCTATCTGTTCTCCATCCAGCAAGCAGCCAGAATCGTCTTTGTTGTCTGCACATCTTGTTTTGTCAGCCGTTGCTTACCTTTTACAGCTTCCTCTTGGGCTTGGGGGAAGGACCAGCTCCCCACGTGGCCTTCAAGGCCCTGGTGCCTCCCTTTCGCCTGTCTCCCGCTGTCTCTCTGGCTCGCTGAGCCCTGCCGCTGGCCTGCTCACCATGCCACCTCCTGACCAGGGCATTTGCATGCACTCTGCCTTGCCGCTCCTTTGGCCAGCCAACTCCAGCCCATCCCGCAGACCCCCAGCTCAAAAGCCATTTCCTGGGGGAAGCCTTCCTGGGACCCTCTGGGCCCGGTCAGCCCACTGCACACCAACCCTTGTGGACACTCTCAGCCCTCATCCTTCTCCCTGGCACTTCCACCTATAGGAGCGATGCCCTGACTGTCCCCCTCCCAGTGTGCTGGCCCACAAGACAAGCACAGGCTGAGCTGGGCTCTCCTCCTGTTTCTGTCCAGCTCCACCCCTGGGTACTGCCTTAGCCCCCTGCCCAGCCTCATACCCACACGCTGCCATTACACAGGTTATCGTAATCCTCCACTTTGGTGGGGCTCCTTGGCTACAAAATAGCTTATATTTCTCTCTGTTATCATCTGTCTTACACAGAGTTGAAATTCTTCTAAAAATCTCTTATTATTCTAGAACTGTACACTTACATTCTTCTTCTTTATTTATACTTCAATAAATAAGTTACTCTAATAAGTAAGTTTAAATTGCAGAAGTATCTGGTACCCATCCTTCCCCCTCCCTTCTCACAGCCCTACCCGCCATGAGGCCACTGTCACCTCTCTCTCAGAAGACCATGGCACCCACTCCCTGGCCTCGCCATCCCCATCTCTCCCTCTACTCTCCTCCCCATACCAGTCACCAAATCCCTGAACTGCTGAGCAACACCCCATCTGCTTAGACTTCTCCATGGCCCCCATCTTCAACAGGACAAGCCCTGCTGACCTGGCCCCTGCCCCCACCTGTTGCCTTGCCTCTCCCTGGTGCACAGAGCCCCCCACGCTTACTGCCCCTGCCCTCTCTGTGCCCTTGGCTGGGACTCCTCCACTCCTCAAGGCTGGAGTGAGGTAAGGGCTAGCCTCCAAGCGTCTGCTCGGGGCCTCGATGAAAGTGGCCTTAAAGGAAATAAGAGTGGGCCCTCAGGGAAAGCCCACAGAGTGAGGAGGCCTGTGAGCCTGCCCTTTCCCGTGGTCAGCCTGTGGCTGTGCCTGGCTGTCCCACTACCCACATCCTACGGGACCAGGCAGCCAGGGGCTTGGGGTGGGCTGCAGTTGGTGCCGAGTTACACTGTGATGGGTACATGGGGTTCCAGGTGCCCCTGCCTTGCAGAACTCTGCTTCCATGACCTTTCTATCATTCTTCATCTTGCTGATTCCAGGCAAGTCTCCGAATCTTGAAAGAAACTGTAGTTTCCTCCTGGTGCCCTGGGGAGGTCCCACTCTCTATGGGAGCTTCTGAGGAACCAAGAGAGTGCCTGGGAAGGCGCTCCGGTAACTGCAGTGTCAGGATGTCCTGTGGTTTTATAACAGGCAAAACTCACCCAAACAAATCTCTGACTAGCCCAAGCACTTGTGCCCATGCTGCCTTTAAAATTATTGTTTAAATGAAAAAAAAAAAACAAAAACAAGACTCAAGAGTCTTAGCATTCAAAACCTCTCAGACTGTTACAGGAGACAGAGCCCCTGGTCAGCAGAGGTGCAGCTCTCTGGCCCTGTGCTATCCCAGGGACTTTCTGAGGAGATGCCGGTGAGGGGGGTCACTGTACCTGGGAGGCCCTCATCCACTGTGGGTGTTGCTCTGGGGCCCAGGCCGTGCAGGGCCAGGGCTGAGACTGGGACTGGCCTCTGAACCACTGAGTGCCCCCAACACTGTCTCCCTTCTCCCGAAGGTGCTGCGAGAGGAGCAGCAGGCCGTGGGGTCCTTGGTCCCTGGCACCCAGTGCCAGGGACACCACCATCCTGCTGCTCAAGGCCTCATGGTTGTGCTGGCTTTTTTCTTTTCTCTAAAGCGGAAAGTGCCCACAGACAGATCATGCTGCACACAGTGCTCCAGCAGAGAGGCAATGAAAGGGGCCAGAGCACGGCAGGAGCAGGGAGCAAGGCAGCCCAGGCAGCAGCAGGGGAGAGCCCTCTATGCTGCCGGTGGGCGGGTGGGCGTGGCAGCGAGGTGGGCACCTGGCTTTGGGCCCAGCCCCTAGCTGCACCACCCACGAGTCATAAGGCCTAGCCATCAGCCACCTCACTGGTGAGCTGGCATGAAAGCAGGGCCCACCTCAAAGGTTGGGGTAGACGCAGCAAAGAACAGTGCAGGGGCTGGGTGTGTGAGGTGCCAGCAGGCTGACTGGGGCCAGGGGGCCATGTGTGGCTCCTGGCGACCCTGGATTAGTGGCTGGCCCTCTTTTGGCTACCTCAGTTTATGCATCTGGAAAAGTGGGCACTGAGAAGGCTGTGAGGAGCCCTGAGATCATGCGTGGGAGCCGCTGCGCCTGTGAGCACACACTTGGCAGTGACTGTGAGGACTCTGGGAAATGGCTCAGGCAGGGAAGATACAAAGCACTCTGAGGAGGAATGGAGGAGTTTCCGCTCAGAGCCCTCTCCCCATGAATCTGGGCCCAAAGACTCTGTCTCACAATCTGGGGGCTGAGAGGGAGGGAGACACTTGCTGTGAGGTCGTCAATACGCCGGAAGTCCAGGTACACGAGGTCAGGAAGGTAGGCACAGACGAACATCTTGTAATCCTCCGCCTCAGAGATGGGGTTCCCAGAGAGGCTGAGCGTCCGCAGGTCCTTGAACCGCCGCAGGTAGATGACCTGGGGAGGAGATGGAGAGAAGGTCCCATTTGCCTCCCTGTCGCTGGGCTGCAGGCACATCTAGCAGCCTTTCCACCCATCACTCACTGCGTGGAGTGACAGGTAGGGGTGCTCCTGGGTAGGAGGGCAGACTCCAAGGAATCAAGCACACCTGGGCTCAAATCCTAACTGTGAGACCTTGGGTGAATTATCTAACGTAAGTGAGGCTCAATGTCCTTGTCTGTAAAATGGGTATAAGAATGTTATGTGTGTTATAAGTATTGAAAAGACCAACTGAAATAAACTATGAAAAGCATTTACAAGAGTACCTGGCACCTAATAAGCACTCAACTGGTAGCTGATATTATAATTATTATTTAGCAGTGACTCAGAATAGGCAATGCCTTTTTAATTTGTAAAGCCCTGAGAAAGATCTAAATCTCTTAAATTAAGTGGAACCCAATTTAAAATTAACCTTGGATTAACTTGATAACATTCTAATAACTGCTGTTCATTTTTCCTATATTCTAGGGGGAAAATCAACAAGATGGCCAATATTTTATTCACTAGCATCTTCTGAATACCTAGACACTGAACTATGCAAAAGATAAAAAAAGAGACCTAACCTCCTTTCCTGAAGGAATTCTTCTCAGTCATTTATTTGTTATTCATTCAACAAACATTATGAAGCCGACCAGGCTGCAGTCACGTGCCAGGCCTTGGGGACACAGCAGGGAAGAAAGCCCACGCGGTCCCTGCCCTTGTAGCAAGAGCTTACATTCTACGGGCATAGAACAACCAGGTTTTAAAAGTAAATAAGAGCGTGAGGTTTGGGGTGAGTGCTACAAGGAACACGTATATGGTGCTGTGAGAAAAAGAACAGGAGGCTTCTTCAGTTAGGGGACACAGAGAAGGTCTCTCTAGGGAGATGGCATTTAAGCTAAGACCTGAAGGAGCAGCCATGGAAGAGCAGGGGGAGTGCGTTCCTGGAGGCAAGAATACCATAGATGAAGGCCCTGGGGCAGGACAGAAATTACTAGGACAAGGAGCTACAAAAAGGCCAGGGCTGCTGCCTGTGGATGGGCAGAGCTCACTGGGACCAGGAGGTACGAGAAAGCCAGAGGCTGCAGCATAGGGATGGTGGGGTGAGGGGACTCAAGACAGATTGGGGACAAGGGCAGGGCTGGTGCATGTCGGGCCTTGTGGGCCCTGGTGGTCCACAGTTTGGATTGGCTCTCAGGACAATGGGGGCCAGGAGATTTTTAAGTGTGTATGAAGGGGGTACAGGATCTGCTTTTTTTTAAATTGTGTTTTAAGTGAAAGTTTACAGTTCAAGTCAGTTTTTCATATAGAAAATTTATACACATTGCTACATGATCCTAGCTGCTCTCCCTAAAATGTTACAGCACACTCCTCCTTTCCATCCCAGGTTTCCTGTGTCCCTTCAACCAGCTCCTGTCCCTTTTTGCCTTCTCATCTCGCCTCCAGACAGGAGCTGCCCATTTAGTCACATGAATCTACTTGAGCTAAGAAGCACTCTCTTCATGAGTATCATTTTATGTCCCATAGTCCAGTCTAATCTTTGTCTGAAGAGTTGGCCTCAGGAATGGTTTCAGTTCTGGGTTAACAAAGTCCGGGGACCATGTCTTCCAGGGTCCCTCCAGTCTCAGTCAGACCATTAAGGCTGGTCTTCATACTAGAAGTTGAGATCTGCACCCCACTTTTCTACTCCATCAGGGACTCTCTGTTGTGTTCCCTATCAGGGCGGTCATTGGTGGTGGCTGGGCACCATCTAGTTATTCTGGTCTCAGGCTGATAGGACTCTGGTTTATGTGGCCCTTTCTGTCTCTTGAGCTAATATTTTCCTTGTGTCTTTGGTGTTCGTCATTATCCTTTGTTCCAGGTGGGTTGGGACCAATTGATGTATCTTAGATGGCCGTTTGCTAGCTTTTAAGACCCCAGAAGCCACTTGCCAAAGTGGGATGCAGAACATTTTCTTAATAAACTTTGTTATGCCATTTAACCTAGATGTCCCCTGAAACCATGGTCCCCAGACTCCCACCCCTGCTGCTCTGTGCCTCAAAGTGTTTGGTTGTATTCAGGAAACTTCTTAGCTTTTGGTTTACTCCAGTTCTGCTGACTTCCCCTGTATTGTGTTGTCCTTCCCTTCACCTAAGACAATTCTTATCTACTAACTCGTTAGTGAATAACCCTCTCCCTCCCTCCCCACCCTCATAACCAACAAAGAATGTTTTCTTTTGTGTTTAAAACATTTCTTGAGACCTTATAATAGTGGTCTTATACAATATTTGTCCTTCTGTGATTAATTTCACTCAGAATAATGGCTTCCAGGTTCATCTATGTTATGAGATGATTTGTGGATCCATCATTGTTCTTTATCGTTGTGTAATTCCATTGTTTGAATATAGCATGATTTGTTTATCCATCCATTGATGGGCACCTAGATTGTTTCCGTCTTTTTGCTATTGTGAATAGTGCTACAATGAACATGGGTGCGCATATAGCTATTTGTGTGATGGCTCTTATTTCTCTAGGATATATTCCAAGGAGTGGGATTGCTGGATCATATGGTACTTCTATTTCTAGCTTTTTAAGGAAGCGCCAAATCGACTTCCAAAGTGGTTGTACCATTTTACATTCCCACCAACAGTGTATAAATGTTTCAGTCTTTCCACAACCTCTCCAAAATTTACTATTTTGTGTTTTTTGGATTAGTGCTAGCCTTGTTGGGGTGAGATGGTATCTCATTGTAGTTTTGATTTGCATTTCTCTAATGGCTAATGATCGTGAACATTTCCTCATGTGTCTGTTAGCTGCCTGAATGTCTTCTTTGGTGAAGTGCCTGCTCATATCCTTTGCCCATATTTTAATTGGGTTATTTGTCTTTTTTTGTTGTTGCTGATGAGGCTTTCCAGTATCTTGTAGATTTTAGAGATTAGACGCTGATCAGATTTGTCACAGCCAAAAAATTTTTCCCAGTCTGTAGGTTGTCTTTTTACTCTTTTGGTGAAGTCTTTTGATGAGCATACATGTTTGATTTTTAGGAGCTCCCATTTACCTAGTTTCTCTTCTGGTGTTTGTGTATTGTTACTTATGGTTCCTATTGTGTTTATACCATGTATTAGGGCTCCTAGCATTGTCCCTATTTTTATTTCCATGATCTTTATAGTTTTTGATTTTATATTTAGGTCTTTGATCGATTTTGAGCTAGTTTTTGTGCATGGTGTGAGGTATGGGTCCTGTTTCAGTTTTTTGCAGATGGATATCCAGTTATACCAGCACCATTTGTTAAAGTGACTGTCTTTTCCCCAATTAATGGACTTTGGGCCTTTGTCAAATATCAGCTGCTCATAGGTGGATGAATTTACGTCTGGATTCTCAAT